TACTCTTTCACTTGCTCCTGTGGAGCGAGATACATCGGCCGTACGACGAGACTTCTAATATTAACCATGGGAATATTTGCGGAACTTAGATAATTTTGATTTACTACAGTATCTAGCTTGCGACGGATTGCGCATAACCGCGGGGGTACCGTTTTCCTCATGATTTGGACGACAAAGGCGAATGTACACGACGCATTAATCTTTCGATCGAGCCGGTCATCTTATAACTATTTTGCTATGTCTGGTAGCTTGCGAAAGAAATAACCCAGTTTTTAAAATGCCGTTCCGCTATTTCTGCTACTACTATTTTTGCCACTACTACCAAGTAATATAGCTGAGTATCGGTCGTACTGTTACTACGATTGACGCTAACATTTGTCAGAGGTGACGCTGATTATAGTCAATCCTGGAGCTCATATTCCCTCGATCCCAACAAGGAGTGTGAATCTGGGTTTATGCTATTCCGGGTGACTACCTGTTTGAGGTCCTGAGCACATCAGGGCTATCCTTGGTTTCCGCCTTATCAACTCCATCCACCAGGCTTCGTTGACGAAACGTTATTAACTAATAGCTCAAGTTTTACCATGCCTTATGTCGCATGGTGCCATATGCCGTTATTAGGCTAACTTGACTTTTTGCAGTACCCAGCGCTCTCTCTTGAGGTTTAGGGGACGTCTCCTGTGTAACTGGAGAAAAATCTGCTCCATAATCAATTTATATTGCTATATTCTATAACCATGTCAGTAACTGAGTAATAATCAATAAGTAGAGCAGATAGGAAAATGAGCTTACCACCTTTTCTTGTCGTCATCAGGTGTTTGTGTGAGACACCCGGGGTTGTCCTGCGAGTATGCCGTGTCTGTACGGGGTTAGAGATCAGCATACAAAGGCAAGCAGAGTTTGCTTAAGTGCCCAATAGATTCGAGGTCCTTACGAGCAATGTAGCTATTTAAGTCGTACAATTTACTTTATAAAGGGTTGTTCCGATCGAACGCCACGACTGGGTTTTGAATAGCCAATGGCTGCCGGTTTTGCAGGGAGGGCGAGCACGCCTACTTAAAGCCCCTAGACTCCTTGAGCAGATATTGTCTTTGTTAGGTTTTACGTATGAGAGGACGATGGGACTGCCCTCGTATCACATTTGTCTATTTGGAATTTGACCTCCGGAGAGCCACTCGGCAGATCTTCCGTTAAATTGGGGCGCAGTTAACTCTAAGTTTACCTAACATGGTGTTTCTTT